AAAAAAAAAAAAAAAACTAAACACATCTTAGTAAAACCAATACCTTCTCAGCTTCGCATCGAAGCTAATAATCTATTATTTTGTGCAATATGAACGTATGATACTATAATAAAAAACTCTAGAATTGAATTTTTGTTATTTTGTGATCGAATGAGCAGTTTTATGGAAAAAGTACTAAAGACAAATATTATTGAAAATTTAATTCAAAAAATATTTTATTATAAGATATATTTTCCTATCGTTAATACTTTAGGATATAATCGTAAAAAACTACTCAAAAATAAATACGCCCATTTTTTTCATATTGTTGAACTTTTAACTTTTTCGAGGTAAATATTTGACTTATGACTTTTTTAGTAATAACTTTTTTATGCAAAATATTCATATCTACAATTTTTTTCTTATAAACTTTTATGTAAAAGTCATAAATTTTGAGATAAACTACAATTATTGAAAAACTACCCTCATGATTGAATTTTCAACCCTCTTAAGGCACAGCTTAGGGTTGAAAATTAATGAAATTTGACACAAATTATTTTTTTATAGTTTTGAACAAATTCCGGGGGTACCTCAATCAAATTTTGAAGAAAAAAAAAATTCTGCATCTATACATTAAAGACCACCCTAATATACATATTATATTAACATATTATTATATATCTTTTGTTTGATCTTTGGGCTAATCGGCTTTTTGTTCAAATGTACATTTTTCCTTTTGAACTTTTAATTTTTTTTTCTTATTTATCTCATATTTGATGTATAAGACTATGAGTTTATTGTAAAAATTGGGATCCATCTATGACAACTAACCTGTCTAACGTCAAATCAATACATTTAACTATTTTCTCTTTTTGAATTTTCCTGATTTAAATAATAAAAATTTTAATATATTTTTGTTACACTGATTCTGATGTAATATTTTTTCTGTAAAACACTTATTGTGCCCATCATAGTCGGGTACTCCTACCGGAATAAGTGGCCTACTTATGATGACAGCCCGAAGAGGCTTACGCGCCGAAGGCGCGTAGGAGCTCGTAGGGCCTCTGGTCGGGGGCGGAGCCTAGTAGTACATTATAACGTTAGGGATAAACTGTGTATATCATGATACATGTATGTATTTTTATTATTGTAATATATCATTTTACAATTATTACATTTTATTATATTATTCAAATTATATTTCTGTTATTACATTATTTAAACGTTCTTTTTTTTATTTATTTACACATTATTACGAAATTAATATTTTCAACAGATTTTTATTGTAATATTTTAATGAAGTACTTGTTAAACATTTTTAGTCTTACATTTTCATTAAATAAATAATTTTACAATATTTTTAATAAATAATTATTTTAGAAAAATTTTAAAGAGGTTGAAAATAATTTTATTTTCAAATAAGTATTACAAAATAATGATTTTTTAGAATAATTATTACATTTTATTAGAATTTTCCATTTGGATTGTATTTTCTAATCTTCACCTGATCAGACAACATAAAATAATTTTATATTGTTGTTTTAATACAAAACATAAAGTTAGATAATTATAATTATAGTAAATAAACAATAAATTTAATAACTATACACAAAACAAAAATTGTATTGCTTCATTGTAAAATTGTATATTTAATCCAATTAATAGTTAAATAACATTGTTATTGTATTTAATTGCATGGAAGTACGAATATATTTACAATGGACTTCTTGACAAAAATATTTCTTATACAAATTCAAAAAAAAAAAAAATTAAATGTAAAATATATAATTTTTGAGTAAATAATAATACCAATAATACTATTTCTTTAAAAAAAAATAAAAAAAATAAATTACTTCTTAGTGGGCAAGTAGTACACGTAATAAATAAAGATAGTATAAATAAAAAATATAATGTAACTATAAAAAACAAATGTAACCATTATGTATTATCTTGAATAAAATATTATATTATATGAAAAAAAAATGTTATTAATAACTTAATATCTAAAATATATATAAAACTTTAACAGTCTAAGACCTTATTTGTTTCACTATAGTGCAGTGTTTTTCAACCTTTTTCATTATGCGATCCCCTTGGTATGAAAAAATATTTCGCGACCCCCCCGACCCTTCGTTTTTTTATCATGTTTGTGTATTATCATGTATGTGTTACAAATATTCATTCTATACGACATTTTCATGCAGTATAAGTAATATAGCACGTAAAACAAATTATTTTACAATTACATACATCGAAAACATCATCAATTGATAACTTAAGGAAGCAATTTGCGCACATTGGTTTACGTACGTACGTACGACCAAAGCCGATGCAGGCCGGAGCCGTTCGGCAAGTGTGGTGGCTAGCTTGCGAAATGTTGATAGTGAGCGAGACACAATGAGCGTTGCGTGGGACAAAGCAATACTCACTCAGTTCACGTCGATGGTTCAATTGTTTGACGACTGTTAGACATTGTTTTCATCTTTCAGTAATAATTACGCATTTGAAGTGATTTGTAATAATTTAAAATGGATAATTTCCTGAAAAGTTTGACAGAACCGTCAACTTCTGGTGAAAGTAGTGGCAGTACAACGAAGAAAAAACGTCTTTAAGGCGAAAATTATTTGAAATTCGGGTTTACCGTGATTAATAATAGACCACAGTGTATTATTTGCTTCGAAACTTTATCAAGAGAAAGCATGAAGCCATCAAAGTTAACACGCCACCTCAACACAAAACATCCAAATGAAAAAAATGAGCCCTTGGAATTTTTTGAGAGAAAACTACAAGCTCTTCAACATCAAAAAACTGATATACAAATGTCCAACTAAAATGAAAAAGCGTTGCTTGCTAGTTATCGAATAGCTTTTCGCGTGGCTAAATCTGGAAAACCTCACACTATTCCCGAAAATTTGATCTTACCATCGGCTTTAGATATAGCAGAGATGTTTGGGAAACAAGAAGTCGAAAAAATCAAAAGTATACCTCTCTCTGACAATACCATTCAACGCAGGATAAACGATATGGCCACTGACGTTCGTGATCAAGTCATAGAAAAAATAAAGAAAAGTACTTTTTTATCTTTGCGATTTGACGAATTCACGGATATTGCGGGTGTGTGCAGTTTGTAGCTTTTGTGCGTTTTGAATCCAGTGAAAAATTAATGGACAAAATATTATTCTGCAGAGCGCTTCCCACAAATACTACAGGTCAGTGCTTGTATAACATGTTCCTTGAAACTACGCAAGATATGAATATCGATTAGGCAAATAAATGCATTGCTATTTGCAGCGACGGAGCAAAAGCGATGACTGATGCAAAGAGTGGATTTATTGCTAGGCTGAAAGAACAGATGCCTAACGCTCGTTGGGTGCAATGCTTTCTCCATCACCAAGCTCATGCGGCCAAAACCTTCCCACAGGAATATAGCAAAGTTTTAAATATTATTATAAAGATTATCAATTCTATTAAAGGCAAAGCGTTGCAGACACAATTGTTTCGAATTATTTGCGAAGATATGGGGGTACTCCAGCAAAATTTACTGTACCATACAGAGGTTAGGTGGTTTTTGAAAGGCAAAGTACTGACCAGAGTTATGGAACTTCGTGCTGAACTTTTAATATATTTACAGCAGGCTAAGCCAGAATACTCTGAATTCATTTGCGACCCGGCACTCCTTTTGAAATTAGCTTTTCTTTCTGACTTATTTGAGCATTTAAATATCTTGAATAAAAGTCTGCAAGGGCGAGATGAAAATGTCATCACTGCAAAAGACAAAACACATGGCTTTACAAAAATAATTGACTTGTGGTCGTCGTCTATAAATCAAAATAACTTCGATTTATTTTCGTCGACACCATCTTTTGTCGAAGAAGTCGGATGTGAGATAAATATTAAGGAATATATACCTGGTATGAAAATGGTGTTAGATAATTTGAAAGAAGAATTGTGTCATTACTTCTCAGTGCAAGAAATATCGGACAATAATGGGCAGAGGTGGATCTTAAATCCTTTCTTAAATGCAGTTATAAATGAGGCTAATTTGCCAACAAAGCTCAAAGAAAATCTGCTTGAATTATCTACCGATGGGATGTTACACTTGGAATTCAAATCTGTTAATATGGATACCTTTTGGTGTAGGAGAAAAACAGAATGCCCGGAAATAGCAACTGAGGCTTTGAGGTGTTTGATTCCGTTTGCCACCTCGTACTTATTCGAGTTGACATTTACTTGTCAAGAAAACGCTTGAATTTGGAGAACGATTTAATTCTATGTGTTGCAAATACAGATGGGAAAAATTGATTAATCAGAAACAAGCACAACCTTCGCATTAACATGAGTCGTAGGATTTAATTTTTTGTTGATTTTTTTGTATTAACATACAATGATTATGAGTATATCCTTTTGTTAAAATTCTCTTACTTAATATATCAATATTTTTAATTTTAATTGTTTTTTTACTGAAGTTCTCTTAACTTCTGGCGAACAACAGAAGCTTCGCGACCCCCCACGTTGAAAAACACTGCTATAGTGTATCAAATAAAAGTCAACGTTGTCCAATTTGTTAAAATAAGAAATTATTCTGTTAAGAGGAGCGTGCATATTATGATTTTATTAACTAATAGAAATGTAAAATAACAGAAAGTGATCAAAAATTTTGAATAAGGACATTAAGTGGTATTAACTAGTAGTCCAGGACAATCAACAATTTTCAATATTTTTCAAAATAAATTTAATATAATTATTGAATAAATCTTAGATAAAGAGTTCAATATTGCATCTTACGTACATACTTCTTTCTTGAAGAGCCGTATTGTCATCTAAACAGTAAAAAAAACATGGAATAAGCGATGTTCAAACCTATTCTATATATGTAAATTGTATTTTGTTTTCTAAATAATAAAATTTTTTTTGAAAAATTCAGGGAATGACATCAAAAGTATCAGTAAAAATTATTACAACTTTAGTAATATCATCATCATAAATGTCATGTAATAATGTTTGTTCTTATATATTCAATTTCTCACTATTTCTATAGAAATTAAAAAAAGCAATATATACAACTTAAAGTTCTTTATTTAAATAATTACTCGTAACTCGAGTAATGCCATCTAACCGAAAATAAACGCTGAATAAGATATTTTTTAACCTATTCTGTATACATAAAATAGGTTAATTAGAAATGCTATAATAATGAATATCCTAAAACAATACTAATTAAAACATAAATATGTTATTTCCAAATTTTAGCCTCTAATTGAAGTTATATTATAATCTTAATAACAATTTCTATGTATGATAAATCCATTTTCCACTCTTACCAGTATTTTATGAAGTCCTATTGATATCTAAATAACAAATAAATTAAAATAATATACTTTTAGTAATATCCAGAAGTTATAAATCAAATTATTATTTACTTCTCATAGCTTCGGCCAAGGTATTAACTAAAAAAATTACATTATACGTTTAATTTTATATTTTTTCATATTAATAACATTTTTTAATTATTAGATTCTGACATATTGTTGGAAATACTGACATTTTTAAGCTAAACCTGTCCCAAATGGGTAGTATTATCGTAGACAAACGGAAAATAAGTAAATACTGGTTTTACAAACATGTGATTTTTTTAAACATTTGTCCATGTAAATTCTAGACTGATTTTGATAGTTATGCTTCAAAATAACATTTTTAATCTAGTTTAAGTTATCAACACTAAACATTTGAAAAACTCCATTCAATTTTAAACATTATATAAAATATCTCAAAACTATGATACTGTAAAAAAGGCATTTTCAATTTTTTTTTTAATCTTATAACTGCTATAACTTTATTTTTAATTTACTGATCCTAGTAAAATTTTAACCGAATAATCTAAGGACAATATACTTTCCTTTGGTATGCTTAGTATGATAATCGAATGAAGAAATATTGTTCCACTATAAGATATTGGCCGTGAAATTTTACATTTTAGTAAAAATTCAGTATGTTGGTTGGCTATATAATAAGTTAAATTATTAACAATATAAATAAGACAAATTGATCAACAATCAAAAAACTTTAATGTGCCATACGATAAAATTTGTCCAATATCACGGAACATTTTTGAAAATTGAAAATTAAGGAATTAAAAAAATATATTATATACACTTGAAAGTCCTCTAGTTAAATACTTACTCAAAACTCGAGAATTGTCATCTAAACAAGTATATAAACACTGAATAAGCTATGTTTAAACCTATTCTGTAATTACATATGTTGTTCTCAAACGCTATATTTTTAAATTTTACATAAGAAAAATAAGCCTCTAATATGAAGTCATATTGAGATCTAAATAATAAATTCTATAAATGTTAATTCCATTTTCCGCTCTTACCACTATTATATGGAAACGCATGGATAACTAAATAACAAATAAGTTAAAATAATATACTTTTAATATAATCAAGTGCATATAAATCAATTAAATTATAATTTACTTCTTATAACTTCACTGAAGTCATTAGCTAAAAACAAATACATTTTATGTTAATTGTTTTTTAACAATAAACTTTCCTTTAGTATTCATAGTATGAAAATACAATAAAGAATTATTGTTCTACTATGAATAAATTAGCCGTCAAACATTTTTTAAACAAAAAAATTTCTAAAAAAAATTAGCCTATAACTTAAAGCCACATTAAGATCTAAATAAAATATTCTATGTATACTTATTCCATTTCCTCTTCTTACCATTATAAGGTGAAGTCCTATTGATAACTAAATAACAAAAGAGTTAATATAATAATTTTTAGTAATATCCAGTGGATATAAATGAAATTATTATTTACTTCTCATATTTTCGGCCAAGATATTTACTAAAAAAAATACATTATAAATATAATTTTGTAATTTATATATGAACATATATGTTCGGACATAAATATATGTCCGAACATATATGTTCAAACTTTTAAATGTATAAACGTAATTTTAATGAATATCTTATGATAAACCTGACTAAAAATATTTAACTAATATAAACATGTCATAGAATATAAATATGTGCTATTTTACTCACAATCGTTAGTTACTTCAAATGGCATAATGGATGTTCCTAAGTAATATAATATCTTATTAATAACTTGAAACAATAACTATTATAACATAAATATAATATTTTATATAGATCAATGTAAAATCTTGTACTGTCTTTGAAATAGCAATGATAACAAGTTAAACCTAAAATATTACACTTAGTTATTATACTACAAATAAATTTTTATATTCACAATGTCGTTCAATCAGTATAGAAAAAATACCAGTGTTATTATTATTTGCAAATAACTCAAAAATGACGATTTTTCAGTTATGTACAACGACAAAACTGTACTGAACAAGCGATATGTTAACATATATTAGTTGTAATTGAATATTCTATAATTCTATTTCTATATTTATATTTCTATATTCATAACATTTGATATTCTCAAACGCTATATTTTTAAATTTTACATAAGAAAAATTAGCCTCTAATATAAAATCATATTGAGATCTAAATAACAAATTTTATGTATGTTAATACTATATTACCCTCTTACCAGTATTATCTGAAGTCGTATTGATCACTAAATAACAAATAAGTAAAAATAATATATTTATAGTATTCTCCAATGCATATAAATCAATTAAATTATTATTTACAATTCAATTCTTCGACCAATTCATTAACTAAAAAAAATTACATTTTATGATTAACTCTATATTTACAAAATTGAATATGCTTAAACGTAATTTTATTGAATATCTCACGATAAAAATGCCCATACAGTAATTTTTGTATGAAAATTTCTGCATATTAATAACATTTTTCATTCTTTGATATTGAAAAAGTTTCGGAAATTCTGATATCATTAAATAGAGCTATACTTAAAGTTTATGTAATAAACGTAACATTCAAATGAATATTTTCCTCAAAACTTATTTTCTTTGTATTGCCTTTAAAGTCAAGAAATGAAATACGATTTTTGTGTACAAATCGGAAAGTTAAGTTATATGAATTAATTAAAATTATAACTATATTAAAGTGTTCGTGTTCAACGTCTGACCGTGATACACGTGTGTTTCTTCATTATCGCATTTATAGCTATCGATAGCAGTAACACACTAGTCTGTTCAAAGTTCAGCGTTACAGGTAATATGATAAAAATTATTGCCTTATTTACACCAATTAAATAAATATCAAACCTAACAATGGGCGATAAGCCCAACACCATATCTGATGATATGAATATCACAGACAGTGCTTCCCAACATATAAATAATACTACAACATTTGCAGAGATAGCCTCTAATATTACATTACCGAAAATGAACCAAGCAATTGTATTTAACTCTATTAACAACATCAAACAAATCGAATATGTTACCGCAATCAGTAAAATTACACCCGCAAAAAATATACAATTTGTATCACGTATTTCCAATAATAGATTCTGCATTTTTTTCAATAGTCAAGCCGTCATGGAAAATCTACTCAAAACCCACTCTTCAATTTATGTCAATGAAATAGAAATTCCAATTCGTAGGCTCATTAACGGGTCCAAAAAAATCATTCTGTCCAATGTTTATCCTACTATACCTAATCAACTTATATTAAACGCTCTCCACGAAATAGGAATTAAAACTTCTTCTCAAATTTCTCACATGAAAGCTGGATTTGCAACTGAACAATTTTCGCATATATTAAGCTTCAGAAGACAATTATACATCAATCAAGACAGTGTGTCTAAACTACCTAGCTCAATCACAGTAACTGTTGAAAACACCACGTTTAGAATATTTATAACCGATGACACCGTTACTTGTTTCCAATGTCATAAGACCGGACACTTTTCTAGCTAATGTAAAAATATACCCGAACAAATCAATTTTATCGATATAATCGAAACCGACATGGAAGCAACGAATTGCATACCGCCAGTCTCAAATGTTGAAAAAAATGTTTCTTCATCACCATCTATTGTAAATGCTCTAAATATTTATACCACTCAAAATTACGATCCTTTAATACCAAACCAAGCAAAAGATAATGTAGATTCAACCTCAATCGATCAATCTAAAAAACATTCGCTAGTCGAAAAGCTCAAATCGTCATCCATCAAAAATATCAACGTAACGTCTCCAATCGTAACTAAACGTCCAGCCCCGTCGATCTCTTCTCAAACACTTTCTCAAAAATCTTCACACTCATCCAACTCAACTTCAATAATGAAGCCCCTTAACGTACCTGACGGCAAAACTCAACCATCAAATAACCACAAAGGAAATGTACATAAAAAACCAAAAGTTAGAACAAGCACTAGTTCAAACGATAGCTTTTATTCACATATCGATGAAGGGTTAGATCCAACCAAGGATCTATTTAACTCAAATCCTCAATTATCCTTACCTCTAAACCAGTTTAAAGATTTTTTTGAAAATTCGCAAGGTTGCACTGACCTTGTGAGTTTATGTACGGAGCATCGTAGCAGTCCAGAAAATATAATCGAAATCATTACAAACATCTACCCTGTCGTAAAAATAAAAAGTATTAAAAATCGTCTAACCCGATTATTAAAAGCACTTGAAAAAATCCAAAACGTCAATTTCAGTCAGACTTCCTATGCTGACAGTAATGAGGATGTAACCTACTAGCTTGATTCCAACCAATATACCACTATACATACCCATCAAACTAATATTAAACCAATCATGATAATTAATAACAGTCTTAAAATAATCCAATGGAATCCAAATGGATTCTTCTCCAAATTAGATGAAATCAATTTATTATTAAACAAATACTGTCCAATCTCAATATGTCTACAAGAAACTAATTTTATCAACAACAAGGTCGGCTCCCTAAAAAACTACACTACATACTACAAAAATAGAACAAATGCAGGCAGAGCCAGTGGTGGGGTGGCAATCTATGTAAATTCTAATTATCACTCCGAAGAAATTACCATTAATACTAATCTAGAAGTGGTCGCAGTTAATATTTTAATCAAAAACCCAATAACAATCTGCAATATATATCTACCAAACTCTCACTCTTTTGAGTCGTCTGATATTCAAAATATTATTAATCAACTCCCCACCCCCTACATTCTCATAGGAGACTTCAACAGTCACAGCCCTTTGTGGGGCTGCTCCGACCTTGACTTATGAGGAACTAAAATTGAGCAAACTCTTTACAACAACAACGACCTCAATATACTTAACAATGGCCAAGCTACAAGAGTTAGCGCTAGCACGGGACACTTTTCAGCCATCGACCTTTCATTCTCATCATCTACAATAACTCCCTACATAGATTGGGATGTTATACCAGAATTATCAAGTAGTGACCATTTTCCTATCATCATGACGCTCAATCACACAAACTCCCATAATCATTATACTGAAAAAAAAAAATGGAAATTAAAAAATGTTGATTGGATCTCATACCAAACGGAAATTGATAAAAATATTGAATCAACATCTTGGACAAATACTAATAATATAGAAGACAAGATAAAACGGTTCACCAACCTCATTATAAATACAGCCTCCGACGTTTTTGAGTTAACTAACTACTCTGGCAAGAGACCTCCAGTCCCTTGGTGGAATAAAACCATCAAACAAGCAATACGAAAAAAAAAACTGCCTTCAACAGATACAAGCGAACCTTAGATCTTCAAGATTTTATACAATTCAAAAAAAAACAAAGCGCAAGTCAGATACCTAATTAAAAATGAAAAGAAAAAGTCATGGGAAAATTTTACATCTAGTTTAAATAGTCATGTTTCCCCAACCTTAATGTGGAACAAAATTAAAACATTAAAAGGAATTCCCTTTACACAAATAAAAACACTAACGGTAGGGCAAACAGTTTATACAGAACCTAAAGAAATAACCAACCAAATAGGACAGTTTTTTTACTCCAACAGTAGTAACTCTAGTTTGAATCCAGACTTTTTGAAATTGAAAGAAACTCAAGAATTAATTATCTCACCGATCAGCACATTATCAACAAATCAAGGTTCAATTCTCAACGATCCTATCACAATGTCAGAACTAAACTCTAGTCTAGAAGGAAAAAAAAGTAATAGTTGTGGACCAGACAAAATATCATTCTTATTTCTCCAGAACCTCTCCATTAAAGGAAAAAATCTACTCCTCGAGTTGTATAATAATGTTTGGTTGTCCGGTACTATCCCAACTTTATGGAAAAATGCTACCATTACCCCCATTCCTAAAAAAAGAGCAAGACAGACACAAACCTTCAGGATATCGCCCTATCTCTGTCTTATGTAACGTGAGTAAAACACTCGAAAAAATAATTTATAATAGGCTTAATTGGTACGTACAAAGATTTAATCTGTTATCCTCAAACCAGCATGGATTTAGGAAATTTCACTCAACTACAGATTGCCATGTTAAAATTGAAACGGAAATACTCGAATCTTTCGCAAACAAACAAACCATGATACTCATCAGTCTAGACCTTCAAAAAGCTTACGACACAGTTTGGCGGCATAGAGTTTTAAATATACTGAAAAAATGGCACATCAATGGGCAGATGTTACAATTTATAACAAGTTTTCTGAATGATCGTTCTTTCCAAGTTAAAATAAATGACCACTTCTCAGAAAAATTTGTATTCGAGAATGGAGTCCCACAAGGATCCCCCCTGAGCATTATACTTTTTCAAGCTGCAATCAACAACCTACCTGATGAAATTTCACATCCTGTGAAATCAATTATGTTTGCAGACGACACTCATATTTATCTCAAAGGGAAAAACATTAAATCAATGACACGCCGTCTTCAAGATTGCCTAAACGACCTGTCCAAGTGGTGTTTCCACTCAGGTTTTATTTTCTCACCAGAAAAAACCAAATGCATCATGTTTACCAAAAAAAAACAAATCTCAAAACCAAAGTTATTTTTGGGAAACACACCTTTACCGTTCGTGAACAACATAAAAATTCTAGGGTTGATTTTTGATAACAAACTTACATGGAAACCTCATATAATTAAGACCAAAACAAGCGCAACCAAAAGTATCAATATCCTGAAAACGTTGAGCCATGTTGAATGGGGAGCAGAAAGTTCTGTCTTAATCAACCTATATAGATCTCTTGTTAGATCTAAATTAGACTATGGATCAATTTGCTATACCAATTCAAACCCTAACCTCCAAAAAACAATTGACATAATTCATAACAGTGGTCTAAGAGTTGCAACCGGAGCATTTAGAAGCAGCCCCATCCCAAGTATTTTATCCATTTCTGGAGAACCTCCCCTTCATATTCGCAGAACCAAATTAGCTCTAAATTATATTGCTCGCATCCTTTCCTCCCCAGAAAACTCTACATTACCATTCGTGACTCAAAATCGTTTTGCAAATATATTTGGCTCCAATTCAAATCTAAAAAAACCATTGGGTTTAACGATGCTGAATGAAATGTCGCTTAACAATATAAATCCAAATTAAATTATCAAACGAGAATATAGTGTGGTACCTCCTTGGAGGGAGCCATCCTTTCTCGTGGACACCAGTTTAGCTAATTATAGTAAAAAAGAAACGTCAAGCATTATCTATAAAAATTTATTCAGTGAAATCATTAACTCTCCTCCGTCAAACCCACAAATCTATACAGACGCCTCCAAAACCAACTTAGGCATCGCGATTGCTATCATAAATGGCCATCAATCTATATCGTACAAACTACCAGACCATAACAGTATTTATACTGTTTATACTACCAGACCATAACAGTATTTATACGTGCACTCCTGGAAGGAGTCTACCTAGCCACCCAATTACCTGTTTCAATCACTAACATTTGTACAGATTCACTCAGCGCTCTTAACAATCTTAAGTATAACTGGCACTCAAGCATCCTAGCAATTAAAATAAACAACATCATTGTAAAAGCTAACAAGTACATACGGTTTATATGGACACCAGGTCATTGTGGAATAGATGGCAATGAAAAAGCCGACCTAGTAACTCGTGAAGCAGTAAATAACCCTCTAACCGAGATACGCACATACTCCTCATTCATTGACATTCATAGGAATGTAAGCACCTTTTGTACAAATGTATGGGAATCCGAATGGCGGCGTACACCTAATAATAAACTAAGGGAAATAAAAAATACTACAGAATACTGGCCCAAACCTCATACATCAAATCGCAAAGACGAAGTAGTTATCAACAGACTACGTATTGGCCACTCAAAGATGTCCCATGGTCATCTTATGTGCAGAGAAGATCCTGCAATGTGCCAAACCTGCGGAGAACCTCTCACAGTCAAGCACCTCCTTGTCCAATGTCGTAACCACATAGATACCAGAAAAAGATTAGAAATGCCTGATAACCTTTTTGAAGCCCTCAGCCCAACCCACGACAACACCATCAAAATAATCTCATTCCTTAAACTAATCGATATGTACAACTCAATTTAATCAACCATTGTATATTTGTATTAAACTAGTTTAAGAAATACTATGTATAATCATATATGTAACATAATAATTTAATTTTGTTCAAGCTAATAACCTTAGAAGTTGAAGTTTAAAAAATAAAAAAAAAAAAAAATATATTATAGAACAAGATAAAAAAACGCTATTCTGGGAAAATTACTTAGTGTGCTCGGATTTTCAAAATTTTTTTTTTCAACGAAAGTACTCTCGGTTACCAGACTTCGGGAAAATTATTGGCCGAGGTCGGAAAATTTTTGCCACTCGCCTTTTAAAATTTCGACCGTTTTCGAGAAAAACGCTCGCTGACGTTTGAAATTTTCACCAGACCCGCCCAATGACATTCCTGAGATATGATAAAAAAGTCAATTCAATCCGTTCATTTTTAACCATTTTACGAGCTTTGTTTTTTTTTTTAAGTCCACGCGCATTGACTCATTTCTGTGCATACGTTTATTCATAACCTTAATTTTTATTAGGACACTATTTTGCATTTATACATAGGACTATATATTTTATGGAGGAATGTTATATGTTATGTATAAATTTCAAGGCGCTTATAATTATATAAGTTTGAACTTTCATAATCAGAACAGTACATTATTAATAATCTTTTTTTTCTCATATACGATTTATGAGTCTATGAGTTTATCATTTAAATTGGGATTCATCTGTGACATCTATACTGTCCAACGTTAAATCAGTGTTATCAATATTTTTATCAAAATTAAATTTTTGAAATAGTCCCACGTTCAATAACCTGCTCAATTTTTTGTAATTATTCTATAATATTAACACAATTATCATAATTAGAATATTAATAATTTTTGTGTACACCAAGGGTACATTTAAGGGAGATATGGGCCCCCCTTGAACCAGCGCAATCAATATTTTTTTAGGCAACTTCTTGAAATAAGGACCTAATGTTCTTTTTTTTGGTTATATGAATTGTTTAAATAAAAATATTTTCAAGGAGGACATTTATTACAAATTAGTGTCTAATGTATAGTTAAATGACGTGGAAAAGGTATAATACTACTGAATAAAAAGACTTGGCGACTGTATAGCTGACAATAAAGATACATTACAATTATTATGTAGGCCTAAAAAATTCTCTTAGATAAAGAGTCCAATATTGCCTCTTAAGTACTTACTTGTTTCTTGAAAAGTCCTATTGTGATCCAAATCTCAAAAAAGTTAAAATAAAATATTTTAGTAATATCCACTGAATAAATGTATAAATGGATTAACTTATAAATAAGTTAACCAAATTAATATTTACTTGTATCACCTAAGTGCAAGTTACTTAATAAAAATAAAAATTTACATTATATGTATAATATTTTCTATGTTTAAACGTAATTTTTGCAGGAATATTTATGCATATTAATAACATTTTTTCTTTCGGAAGTTTTGAAAATGTTTCAGAAATGGTTAAATAGAGCCTTTATTAAAGTTTATATAATAAATTGCGCATTGAACTAATTTTTTTCCTTTCATTTTGCGATCATCTAAGTTAAGGAATAAAATACAATTTTTGCATACAGATCGTAAAGTTAGGTTATTTGAATTGTTGCAAAAAATTTTTTCAAGGAAGATTCATTTTTTACATTGTATGCCTTAAAAAGTTCTATTACATTTATTTGATAATTTGGAAATATTTTTAGCTCCCTTGTGAAGTTGAAAAGATATTATATTACTTTGATGTATTATCTTTGTGTCTATTGCCACTTTTTCTCAACTCTCAATTTTATAAATCAGTATTTTTTTTACTTTTTCTCACTTTTTTCTTAAAACTATCATAATGAATAAATTTTTGAACTAGATTAAACAGTTATTTTTATCTATTATTTTTGCACAGAACCTGCATTGTATATTTTACAGTCGTATAAGCTCGGGGTACGAAGTTCGAATGCCGTTGGACGAAATAACTTTTTTTGCATTTATTTCTTAATTTTTTTTTGAGTTGGAAAAAAATTCCACAATGAATAATGAGAAATAACATTAGTAGGGTAAATTAGAGAGAGCTGTCCTCCACCTCACACACTTGCTAATCATTCGTGTTGTATCGAAGGAGTGTGTTCGGAGGTATTAAATCCTACGTAAACTATCCTAATGCAATGGAAGGGGGAACGACGAAACCTAACGTAAACTAACTATGGAGGGAGGGTTAGTCTTCCTTCAACAAGTCCTAAAGAGTGAGGGGGTAATGAAAACATAAATTAACTTAATGGGTAGTGTGAGGATAACACCCGACGTAAACTAACAGAACTTGCCGTACGCCTATAGATTGTATGTAATAAATGGATTATTATGCGGAAAAATAAAATGATTTTCTAGGGTAGGTACGCCTTAATCCTTGAACGTACGTATAGAACACGTTGAGTTTGATTTTAGCGAAAGGGCATGGAAAATTTCGCAAGCTATCGATATTTTTTGCGCACCGTGAAACCCGACCTGGACGTCAGACTCTCTGAAATCGTAGGTAACCGTCCAATCAAGTATAATCTCAAATTGGAGGCCTCATAACATATACAGCAATCGGAAGCAACGCCCGAGAACAGTGCCTTCAAGACAAGGGCTAGGGCATTGCTATCGGATACGGATGGTAAAGATTTTGAGGTTATGCTTGCCAAGGAAGACACGTACTAAGTGAGGGGTAGCGGCATTACTTTATCGCATATCGACGGCCTTATGCTCAGTGTATACAAATTTACGCCCCTCGCAAGCTCATCATATATTCCGATTCCGCAAGAAATTAATCATAGAAAAACAATCATCAACTTACAGAATATCAATCAGTCTTGAGTCAAGTGGTCCATTTTGGCGATTCACGTCAAGAGATACCACAAATATCGCGTTGATCGAAAATATTTTAACAAGAAACACAGGTATGATATTACGGGGTTGATGTTTCCCACACCTGTGTCCCAATTTAAAATATTTGAGCGACGAAACCCTAAAGTGCCTGTCAACGTGTATGGCTTGGAACGAGACTACGTTAAGATGAAGTGGTTGTTGTATCCGCTAAGAATCGCCGACAAAGAGCAACAAAATCATATTGACCTGTTGTATATTGGTGACTCTGAAAAATCACATTACGTATACATTTTTGGAGGCTCGCGCGCAGCCAAAAAACTCAACATCATGACCGCATGTACACTTGTAAACGTTGATTCACCAGCTTTCATGATGTGCCTAAGAAGCATATTCTTTGAGATCAACATGCGTTGAATCAACACAAGTCGATATACGTAAGGACAAGCCTATTTTACTTGTTATGCCGGCAGAGGGCAGTAAGGTCGAATTTGATGCGTGGGTATAGTCGCAACGGTTACCATACGTCATCTACGCTGATTTTGAGGCCTTGCTGGAGAAAACAGACGATCGTACTAGGACTGTACACACCTACCGTCCCATGATCTACGGGTTTATGGTGAAAACATCGGACGTTGTGCCCTCCGAGCTCCTCGAACTCTACGGTATACCACAATCACCGGTGATATACCGTGAGTCCGAAGACCACGAAGAGGTCACTAAGGCATTTGTGATGGCTGTAACTGAAGTGACGCGCAACATTTCTAAATTGTTGCGTAGAACCAACGTTCCCATCCAAATGTGCTGTCCATGGTGTGCACAGAAATGGGGAGAAAGCGGTATGTGACTTATACCGCACGGCATTCAAGGATTCCAACCCCAAAATCATAGACCAGCGTCATCTATCGGGCCGATTCAGACAGACGTTGTGCAATGCATGAAACCTGAAATTGAAGACGGTCAACTTTGTGCCGTGCTTCTTGCACAATCTTTCAGGTTATGACGCGCATTTTCTCGTCACTGAATTGGGGTACGACGACCAAAGGATTTCGGTCATATCGAATTCCGAGGAATTATATTTTGGTCACAAAATACGTGACATAACTTTTCCATACGGTTCGTCAACACCTTTCGGTTCATGGCCTTCTCCCTGTCCACCTTGGCCGGTAATCTAATGACGCCCAATTTCATTTAATTCCGGGAGAAGACCAAGGTGTTCCACCCGGAAGACACGTAAGGGTGTATAACCTTACGAGTTCCTTGATAATTGGGATAATTTGACGAAACGGTACTATCACCCCGCGACGCTTTTTATAGTCAGTTGAATGAGTCGAATGTTTGGGTTGGCTTCCGATAGTATGAAGGAGCAGACCCTCTATCCAACCTCCAATTGTTTTCGGATACTAGTAGGACGAGGCGTATATATGAAGTGGACGTATCGTATCCACAAGAGCTTCATGACGAGCACAACAATTTTCCATTCTTGCCTTGTAACGATGTACCAAAGAGACCAAACTCCTGGCCACTTTGAAATTCAAACAACGGTACGTCATACACTTAGTCAACTTGAAACAGGCAATCGAACATAGACTGCAATCGATAAAGTATGTCTAATAAACCTATAAACTATAATCGATGATACTTATATAAATATTTGTACCTCAGGTACACCACGTTTTAGAGTTTCAACAAAGTGCTTGGCTAAAACCATACATCGAGTTAAACATTATGCTATACCACCATCACAGGAAGGTTAATACAAATATAGTAGTATTTAAGTTATTCTCGTTGGAAAAAAATATTGTTAAAATTAAATATTGAAAACATAATTTGTAAAAATATGTGCTCTAGAATAAATAGTTTTCAGATTTTTTTTTTTTGTTAAATAGTTATAAATAAATGTTTGTAATACATATGTAATGGTATATAGTTTTAAAATATAACATAATATAAAAAATTGTAAATATACATATATTTTTAATTATTAAATAAAAACACCTCGTGTTGTATGTGTAATTGTTTAATTATTTTAACTAAATTTTTTATTAAAATAAATATCAAAAAAAATGATGGGTACTTTATAAAAATTATATACTTTATTATTGATCGAATCTACCCATATATTATGTGAATTATCCATACCAACAAACTTGACAAAACATCTGTCTTTATTTTTCTTAATGATCTTTTGCACTAAATAGACTTCTGGAAATTGAGTCTAACTCATAGAAACAACCATTTATAGGTCTGTTTTTTTCATCAGTCAACTCATAAACGACGGGTTTTGTATCACGAATTTTTGCAATTGTAAAAACTTCCGTTGTCCAATTTTGTGTATATCCTTTTGAAAATACTGCTTTATGTCCACTCAGATGAACATTATGTCTAATATTAAACTTTTTATTGTATTTTAAATTGGGTAGCCGTTTACATTTCCAGGATTGCGTAATGCTATACTAGGAGTTTTTCCTATAGCGCCATGTTTTGTATTATTGTAATTTGTTATTAAATCCGCAATAATGTTTATCCAAGTGTATGATCTTATAGTAGTAAATTTTTTCAACATTTTTTCTTTTAGTGTTCTATCAAGTTGTTCCACAACAGACGCTTTTATTGTAGAGTGGGTTGTCTAATGATTTATATTTTTGTTCTTCATGAGCAACTGAAATTGTTTGTTCGAAAATTCTAAACCTCAATCTGTTAGTAAGTTTTTTGGAGATCTATTAAACAAGATTTTCTCAAAAGCCGACATAACTTCTGAACTAGATTTATTTTTTAAAGGCTTGCCCATGCATATTTTGTATAAACTTCGACAATCGTTAAAATAAATGTAAAATTTATAATTATTGTAGAGTATTTTTTCATATCTACTAAATCTGCTTGCCATAAGTCTTCTTTGCCGTACGATACAACTCTTCTTCTAGAAAATATTTTTCTAGCTGGCCTATGTAACTAATTTGCTACTTTCTCTGTTACTTAAATCATGATATTACACCTAGTTTTCGTAAGTCTTCTTCTATTGGCAGTATTTCGTTTCCTACACCTGTATTTCCAACCCTTATTGTAGCGTCAAAAAGTTCTAATCGAACTATAAGGTCATTAGGATCGTTCCAATATACGTATTCCTTAGGTATTTTGTTTAAAATGTTTTAGGTTAACACACCACTGGCTGTTTCGAAGGAAACAAGGAGCTAATGATATATTTATATTTATAGCCTACATTACTTTTCAATTTCCCATCTCGACCTAAATGGGCATCAGTGTAAAGTTGTAAATTTTTATAATCCTATAAATCAATTTTATTGAATGAACCAACTGCAGGTTTTCTTTTAAATCTAAGTTGATAAATTCCACAAATTTGTGGTCGTGGTGCCAGCTTAAATAGTTGAAAAATCATCGGTTATTTTAATCGTAGTATTGCCCATGATAGAAGAATTATTATTCACATACTTTAAACCGTAAACCGGGTCAAATTCTAACAACCACTTTATTTCAACTTCTTCCTGCGATGTAGAGGGTTCGCTAGATCTCTGTATCATATAAGTTCCTTCTGATTTTAAGGATATAATTGGATCAGTTTTTATTCTAAAACGGGCTTTTTCCAAGTCACTAAATAATGACTTTCTATGCTTTTGCTTTTCTTCTGCTTCGACACATTTTTGATTAGCTATTTCTTGAAGAGGTATCACCAGCGGTGACAATGTGAACGTACAAAATTTCTCAAAATTTCTATGAATTAACTGTATTCTATTTTTTATGTTTTGTTTAAAGCGTATGATTTCATTCAACATCTTGATATTAACTAAACGTATATCAGTATGAGTCGTCTATTTATACTCGCGTCATTTTTATGAACACATCAAGCCCATCAAGCCATCGATATCGAAAATTGTTGAGGTCATCATCTATGAATATAGTAATAAAACTTTGAATTCATTAAAACTCATATCACTGGAACAATGATCTTCATAAACGTGTTTTATCTTGTTTGTACAGTATAATCATATAAGTGTTATCTCTTATCAGTTGTTTAGGAATTCTAGAATACGTCTGTGTTAGGTAAAAACTATCACCGACATTCTGTTGCCATCGGCAAAATAAATGTGTCATATGATTTTGTTGTTCGCAAATTACATCATCAGATACAAACACAGAGTTTGCTTCTAATTTTTCGGGAGGAGGTACGTCTTGACTGCTGGTGAACATAGATAATTTTACCACATTATCCATAATATCAACTAATAATTTATATTTATGCTGATCCAGGGTTTTCGTTTAAACGTACCACAATTTGATGGTCCACATATTATGCATCTTATTATGTTGGGTAACAGTGGTCCATGTTTAGACTCGATGGGATATGTAGATCCGCGATATTATCGACTGATAGAGAATGTTTCTGTTTCTCAAAAAACATTAGCGCACGTTATAATTCGTCAAGCGATTAAATATAAATGATGAAAAACTAAAAAACCTTTACAGTTATAAATTTAAAATGATGCGAACGAGACATGTGACAAAGCGAAGTGTAGGGCGTGGTATTGTTATTTCAATAATTAATCGATTGCCCATTGATTTGCATGTTCCGGGGTATCAGTATTACGGACCAAGCACAAAACTTAACGTTTGATCCTGGAATAAATAAACACGATGGAACGTGTCGTGAACATGATATTGCGTATGCAAGATTAGATGATTTATCGGAACGTCATTTGGCTGATTACAAGTGGGAAATACGCGCATGGGCCTGCGTAAAAGCAAACGATAGTTCATTTGGAGAAAAAGTTGTTGCGTATGCTGTAACAAATACCATGAAAGCTAAAAGAAAAATTGAAATGGGCTTTGGTAGTGTATTACGAGTTGGACGTAAAGCTATGCGTAATTTAAAAGATATTAATAGAGCGGCAAACTTAACATTAGTAGACGCTCGTATTGCTGTAAAGGGAAACAAAAATTTAAAACACCTCGCACTATCAGAGTACTTAAATTTGGTGGTGTGCTACCACTCAATCCCATTTTTTCTGGACTTTCAGCTTTAGGATCGTTGGCTGGTGGAGTATCGAGTATTGTAAGAGCTGCACATGAAGTCAGAAAAAAGCGCTAATTCGAATAAACCAGTGAAAATTGTTAATGCATTATACTATATCCATATGCTATGAAGAAGAAGGGTAGAGGATTCTATTTGAAACATAAAAAAAACTAACATCGACACTACCTAAGCAACGTGCACTCAGCGACTTAGATATTATAAAATATGCTGAGTCATTCGGAATCAGTGATTTTCGTGGTCTTTTTAAGAGATAAGTTGCCTGTTAAACCCAAAATATACGAGATTGCAGTTGTTAATTTGGATATTGACCACGGAAAAGAAACGCATTGGGTAGCGTATTTCAAGAAAAGCAAGGACTTGCCGTATTTCGAATTTTTCGGAAATTTACCACCTCCACTAGAACTTGAAAATATTTCACCAGATTGCGCGTGAAATACAATTATAATCAAAAATAATTAGAAACGAAAATATAACACAAACATTTGCGGCCAGCTGTGTTTAAAATTTTTTAAATCGCAATACTCATATCGCTGACTGTTACGCTGCATGGAACAATATCGGAAGTCACATCAAGTTTTTTCCACCAATAGAATTTACTGGAGCACCAGAGGTTGCGTTGTTGGGATTTTACGGATGTAATTCAATACGAAATATAGACAAGTTAAACAAAACATTCACTCTGATAAAAACATATAACGTGCTTCTTGAAAATAACATGGAAATTAAAGTGCCTGAAGGGACTTATGAACTTGAAGACATTAGTAAATATCTAGAAGAACGTCTTCAGTCGTATAAAGTCTCATTTATGTTGAAGGCTATTAAAAACACTTTAAAATCTGAATTTAAGTGTAGTTGACAGATAGATTTAAGCGTTGAAAATAGTATTAGTGGTATTTTAGGCTTCCATCGAGAGATACCCGACACAAATAAAATACATATATCGGAATAAATTGCTAACATAAACAATTTAATTTTTATAAAAATAAATTGTAACGCTGCTTATGGTGCATTTGGCAACGGAATTCTGATTCATACAGTTCACGAGTTTAATCAAGGAGTGCCAGCTGGTTACCGTATTATTGAAAATCCTAAAAATATAGTATACTATCCATTAATATCCAATCAATTATACTCTATAACTGTGAAAATAACAGATCAAGACAGTAAAGCAATTAAGTTTAGTGCTGGGGCTGTTACCATACGTCTACATATACGTGATGGGTCTTCGATTTTACAAAACCAAGAGTAATACTAAAACACCAATCATTAAACCACGACTAGTTGAAGAAATACGACGTGAAAACTTTAACATTCTTTCTGCTTTGGAATCTATATGAAATTCCTGGCCTACCAAATAGTAAATGACAAGCCTGGACCGTGAAAAGAGCATCGCAGACTGAGAACCCAAATTTGTTATTGTAGCTTTTCAAGTGGACAGAAAAAACAAAATAAATACTAATTAGAAGTAATGAAAGATATAGGAGTTAATTTTGATTTTGGAACAATCCACCAATTCTTTAAATTAAACACTATCTACAGATTTGCATCGAAGCGATTCTTACGATAGTGATTTTAATGACTGCTAGATATCATCTATACTTGTCCCAACTATGCCACGTCCACACTATGCTACCGTTTTTACTTAAGTAAAATAGGCAATTTTATCTTCAATTTTAGATTAATTGATTGTGTTCATTATACAATGGTATTATTATATAAAAAAACTCAAATAAGTTCTTATGAAAATTAATTTTGTATTTTTGGAAGTCATTAAAGGGATCATTTGGGATGAACGATATTAAGTAGTTTATCATATGTTACTCTATTGAGTAATTTACTATGGAAATCTATCTACAGATATGCACCAAAGCTATTCTTATGATAGTGTTTTTAATCACTGTCGGATATCATCTAAACTTGTCCCAACTATGACACTTCCACACTGTGCCACGAACCTTCTGTGCTACGGTTTATTTTTAAGTTTTATTAAGGAAAAAATAGCCATTAACTTGAAGTAATATTAATTTTTAAATAAAAAAATGTATGTATTTATTTTTTTACTACTTACTATAATAATCTGAATTCCTAACGATATCTAAATAACAAATAAGTTACAATAAAATATTTTTAGTATTATCCAATGCATATAAGTTCAATAAATTATTATTTACAATCAAAATTCTGGAGCATTTCACCAACTAAAAAAAATCACATTTCATGATTAATTTTACATTTACAAAATTTTACATGCTTAATTTAAAGAATATCCCATAATAAACCTACCCAAAAAGTATTTTTATATGAATATTTCTGCATACTTATAATATTTTTTCATTCATAGATTTTGTAAAAGTTTCAGAAATTATGTCATCTTTAAATAGACCTTTATTTAAAGTTTATATAATGAACTTAACGTTGAAATAAATATAGCCCTCAGAACTCACTTTCTTTGTACGGATTTTAAAGTCAAGAAATGAAATATGATTTTTGTGTACAAATCGAAAAGTTAAGTTATATGAATTGTTGCACAAAAATATTTTTAAGGACACATTTTTAAATAATGGTATCTAATCTATAGTATAATGACATGGAAAAGGTATACTGCTATTCAATAAAACAATTTCGAAAATCCTGATAACGTTTAAATAGGGCTTTAATTCAAATTTAATTAGAATGCTCAGTAAGTAAAGAAACAGGTCAATTGTTATGATCAATTGTTATATATTCATTAAATACATTTCACTTATTTTATACAGTCCACTCTCTACTTCTTTCTCCTGCATGATTAGAGACAACAGGAAAGAACGTTAACTAACCCGCTTATTATCACCAAATATTACGTTCACAACACTATTCATCAAATTTTTATGTAAAAACTGAGACATATTTTTAAAAAGTGTATTTTAAAGTTTTATGTAGGAAATATTAGCCTCTAAATTGTAGTTATATAAAGATTTAAATTTCAAATTTTATGTTTCGTATATCCATTTCCCCTTCTTATTAATATAATCTGAAGTCATATTAATATCTAAATAACAAATAAGTAACAATAAAATATTTTTAGTATTATCCAGTGGATATAAATTCAAAAGTATTTTTTTTAAATCGGTTATAATCTTAGTAATATAACAAGTGGACATTTGTCGGCCTACAACAAAACGTGGTTTGCCGTTTGCTTAACGACTAACTATGGTACAGTGGTCGCCACCAACTAGGCGAAGTTTCACACCTATCAGATATGATTACCGGACTATTGATGGAATTTAATTTTAAATTAATTAATAATTTAATTTCAATTAACATGTTTTAAATATAAATCATTATAACACCTTGTGGTATATAACTACAATTATGATAATTGAAGTTGTAAGTGGTTGATATGTAAAACATACCGTATCCCATATCTAAATTAAGGTACAGGAATAATATACATGTGAGTACTTAACCTACGCACACACTAAAATACAATTTTTACTGGTCATATTCAAAGGTAGTATTGCGTTGGATATCGTCGCTATAGCGTTAGTAGAAAAACTTTATAGCGCACCTCGTTGGTGAAATACAAGACTTTATCGCTCCATTAGATAACGCATCAAGTTTTATGAGGTCAAATCGCCAACTTAAAGAGTATTATATCAAACGGAAGAGTATCAAAAGAAAACTAATAACATGTTGTCTGAAAACAGTGTGGAGTGAAATTTTATTCTAGCGCGCTTGACTCACTTTGGTGGCCTGTAGGAGACAGGAGTAAAATCGATGAAATATCTATTGCATAGAGTGTTGCATATTTATTTTGTAAATAGCTATTTACTGTAAAGCAGAAGAACGCTTCAATAGTCGCCCATTAATATTTATATCCTTTCATCCAAGCGACTTGTTTTAAATCACTCCTGTTCATTTCCTCATTAATCATTCTCTAACTGCCTATCTGAACCGGATCAAACGAACATATCTAATAACTGTTTAACACGTTGAAAGCGTGTTTCTCAATATTTCAAAAGTATATGGAAGCACTGGTGTCGGAAATATTTAGCTCAATTGTAGAAAAGAACAAAATGGGCTTCTGAGAAAGTACCTAAGATAAAATTAGGCACCAATGTGCTTCTCAAAAATGTGAATCTTCCGTCTTTGAAATGACGCGCTATGGCTTGGTTGTGTCGTAAAATTAGTAACAGAAGATAGCGTCATTCGGATAGCTAACGTTTAAACCACGAATGGTTCTTTTCGATGAGAGGTTAGTTGAGTACATTGCCAATAGAAGAAAATTAATTTTGTCGATTTTGTAAAAAATATATGTATTTATTGATTTGTGTAATAATTATTGTTTGTTAGATATTTGTATTCTATACGATAAAATATTTTATTAACGCGTTGTTTGATTATTTATTTTTATATTTAAGTACGTATTTTTTTTTTTTTTAAATACTGTTAACTACTAAATTATCAATAAGTCTTGAGGACAATTCTCCAAGGCCGGCGTACCGATACGGTATAGCTTAGATTTTTATTACTATTGTTGATAAGAATAAGGTAGAATTTTACTTCACAGAGAAAAACCAGTCACCGAACAAATGTCGTACTAGGAGATTATAGTAAAAATTTGTTGTATTGATTTAAAGCATAATTGACTCGGGTTACTACTTTTTCATTATAAGTAAATACAGTTTACAATCGCAACACATTCTTAAATAAATCAATCTTAAATGGTATGTTATAATGTTTATTTGTATTTCATAAAATTCTTAATTTTTCTATAGGAATTAGAATTATAATTATTTTATATATAATTTAAAGTTCTTTAGTCAAGTACTTACTTAGGTTATGATTAATGATATTGACATCTAAACAAATATATAAACATTGAATTAGCGATTATAAAATATATTCTATGTATAATATTTCTACTTTTTATGACATCACTATACATAGATACCCACGATTATTGTCAGTTATAACTTTATATACTGATATGCTTTAATTATGATAGTTTATAAAGCACAATCAGGCTGCATTAAGGAATTGTGCCACTCGGCGTACTCAATTATGTAAACCCCAATGTTCTGTTTTTCGCTCATAATATAATTTTCTCTATTTATTTATTCAAAAATAAAATCTTCAACTCTATAATTTATATAGTATCATATTTCAGTGTCTTCATTAAAAACTGCTGCCCAGTGAACTCGCACACAATACCCCCCAAAATACGGAATTATTAAGTGGACGTTGTATAAAAAATTTAAAAGCCATTTACAATTAATAACAACCAAAAACATATTTTGCAATGCCGGCTTTATTTTTTCTTTTAGTGTGGGCAATTTGCGAATAAATATTGTTTGTTTATTACTTATATTAATCTTATTTTCATGATTAAATTACAAAATATAATTTTAATTGTTTATTTTAAGAAATGATTATTGTTAATGATAAAAAATGACGTTATAGACATTCCAAAACTCTGGAACATTTACTTTAGCTCAACATTTCAGCATTTGAAGTAATTATAAATATAATTATACATTTTTAATTTTTACTAATTTTATATTTTTCTCCCCCAATACAAAACTCTGATATCGCCACTGCTCTCATAGTTACAAATTTCTTTTAAACTCATAAGTTTTCGAGCAAAATTTAAAATTATACTATATTTTATCGATTTGCCGAAATTGGAATATTTACGAATACTACATTATATCTGTTTTTCAATACGATAATTATGAAAGAAAAACCCTAATACTTCACCATTAGACGNTAGACATTCTGTGACGTTTGTCATACTTTATGTGACGCATTTTCAACCAGTTTACTTCAATCCCAGCAACGTTTTTCTTTCTTTTTGTTACATAATCTTGAAGTCCTGTTACTGCTACAAAGTCAGAAATTTGCATTTCATGAATCACAAACTTGTTTGTTCTTCGAGCATCTTTCATTATGTTATACCAATCCTTGGATCCATAAATAGTTCTGTTTTTACTCACAGTTTCGACACACCCAAAATCACCATCATTAGGCAAGTAGGAATGTCCAGAAACTAAAAATTTTTGTTCGATTGTTTCGATGCTGTTATCTTCTGAGACAAAGCGAAGAAGTGTGAGAGCTATATTTAAGTTCCGATTCTGCCCTGTGCAACAATCAGAATAAATAACAATGTATTTTATAACTGGATTACAACACATCACTGCTTGCTTAAAGTGAACGAGCAATGAAGAGGCAACTTCAACTGAGCCTCTAGATGCGATTGTTTCATCCCAACAGTAAAAATATCCGCATTTTTTTTTTTCATGTCGTGTATACCAAAGTTATAAACGTATAAGTTTCGTTTATAATAAGCATCACTTACTGTTAATATGGGGAATGGAAGAGCCTTCTGAAGATCCATCGTCATTACGTACGTTTCAGCATCAGTGCTTTGAGAATCCAGTTTCATACATTCCCGTGCTCTTTCTGCTTTTCGGAGATGAAGCTCTTGGGTAGCTTCCATCTTTAACTTTACTTCATCTGAGAATTTTGATTTTGATTTATTTATTATATATCATATAATATATTATTAAATATTACTAAAAATAATATTTTACAACATTTTTATTACCTGATAGTGTTGGGTCCATTATCTGAATTTTGTATATGTCACAACTTTTGCACGTATCCTTTCTGGGTTGCTTAAAGTGTAGGTTAAATTTTGTATTGAAAATGTGCCGGTAATAACTTTCTTTCACGCATTCTCTGCCATCTTCTAGACATTTTTCGGTGTACAAATTATACATTTTGCGTATAGTCAAAAGGGGACTCAAGTACTTCCTGTTTGTATTTGTACTACGGGTGTAGTGTGATTCACAATAAGGGAAACTATTAATGTGTTGAACAACGAAATTTTCTTTATCAGGTAGCATCTTATTGGGATTCGGCTTGCGCCCTCTCAAATCTTCTCCAGGCGGTTTACCTTCTCGGTATTTTTTCAAAGCACGAGTCATCCTCCCGTCGCTCACAGAGAATGTGTTCAGAAAAAATTTTTTACAAGTTTCAACAGTAGTTGAATTCACATCCAAGTAAAATTTATTCACTATAGTGTGAGGAGGACGAACTCCTTCACGAGGACGGTGTTTTTGAACAGGTACACCATGAACTAGTCCACAAAGGTAAGCATTTTGACGGCCAAAATCGCCTATTTCCCAGAACGCCTCAAATAATAACTTCCTGTTCAGTTCAGTAACTTTTTGAATACATTTTTTGCGACAGAAGCAGTCTAAATTTTGAAAATTTTTTGGCTCTATGAGATTACCAGAACGATTTTTATAAGAATCTCCACTATTTCGTAACTTTTTTGCAATCTGACGTTTGTCACCTCCATTATTCTGTCGCTTCTTTTTTCGTGGAACAAAAACATCAATATTCTCCTCCATATTTTTTTTTAGCAAAAACTGAATAAAGAAAATGATCGAGAAATCACGTGTTAATAATGAACCGCACAACGGAAACGTAACACGAAAAATGATCGACAAATTCACTATCAGTGTCGAAAACAAAAATAGATAGAAATAATATAATTATTATAGCAATCGGTCGCCGGTCGCTGAATACAATGGAATTTCTAATCGATAAAATTATTAATGAAGATAAAGATAATGCTCTGGGGCATCTATGTAGTGTTTCTTAAATTACCTACCTACCGACCGTCGCGACGGGAAGAGTTACACCACTTGGTCGCTAAAGCGCTCGGCCATTTCATTAACTGAAATAACAATATATGCTTCTTATTATGATTGTATTGAAATAGGACTCACACCATTTCACTATAGAATTGAAAAATGGTGTAAGTCCAATTTTCAAAATGTTTGACTTACACCACTTGGCGGCCGACCGGCCCATATATATATATATAAATACATAAATACATAAATATTGGTCCTTAGTTATAGATTATGAAAAATTTCTTTTAGAAATTCCTTGGTCTCATCCCCCAAATTTGTTTATATACATGTAAAAACGAACCAAAAAAAATTTCACTTCAATCAGACGAGTTTAACCCGTGCCTACTCGGGTTTAAAAATTGGACAATAGGGGTAGTTTTCTAGTGTTTTAAAACACAATGGAATAGTTAGTTTTTATGCCAAAAGTAAATGAGCGATCATAGAAAAAAAATTATAGTATATAAATTGTTGACAATATTATGGACTATAAGTTTTATTCTTACACATTTTTTTTTTAACTCATTAGTTTTCGAGCAAAATTCATAATTATACTATATTTTATCGATTTGCCCAAATTGGAATATTTACGAATACTACATTATATTTGACAAACATTTAGAGATACGAATAAATCTTTTATACAAAAATCGTTTATTGTTTAATTATTAATAAATTTAGCACAAAACCGTGGTGTGGGCTAAGCACCCCCTCCACCCACAAAAATATTAAAAATACACAGTTGAAAAAAAATTGCTGATGTTACAAATGTATAAATTATGCTAATTGTTTTTTTCAGTTTCAAAATTCTTTACATCATAATAAAGTTGATTTTTTCCTGTCGGGATACTTATTTTTATAATACTTGACAATTTGTAATAAATACTGTTTTTGATTTTCGTCATTGGTTAAAATTCTGTTGTACTCTGTTATAAGTTATACAGTGTAAAAAAAAAATATTGATTAATTCGATACATCAAACAGTTATAACAACATTTATGTATACTGGGGTGACTGATTATAATATATACAAAAATAAATTACAAAAATAGTATAAAATAAATTGTTATATACAGGGAGGCCCACCACTCACTGACAACTTAAATAACTTTTGATCCAGTTAATATTTTTAGTTGATTTTTTTTTTAAATAATAGTTATACGTTAAGTCTATAGCTATATCTCAATAATTAATTTTTTTACATTTTATTAAAAATATTTATTATTTTTTAATTTTAAATAAAATGTAAAAAAAAAATCTAAGATAGCTATTTTGTAGAGTAGAATTTAAGAAAAATTTTAGTAAAAAAATATCTTATTAATATTCAGTAGTAAATATTCTGTAGCGTTTTGAAGTTTGTGAAAATTTGAATTTTCATGTACTATTTTACGGTATTAAACATTGAAATACGTATTGAGAAAAGGACAGAAGAAAACGCTATCTTTTCAATATACTTTTGAATGAGAGTGATAAGTAATAATTGCCTTATCTAATTTCTTATCATGGTATTAATGCCAAGTTTGTAATGTATACACACTATCATCATATGTATACACAGTAATCATGAAAAGATAGCGTTTTCTTCTGTCCTTTTCTCAATACGTATTTCAATGTTTAATACCGTAAAATAGTACATGAAAATTCAAATTTTCACAAACTTCAAAACGCTACAGAATATTTACTACTGAATATTAATAAGATATTTTTTTACTAAAATTTTTCTTAAATTCTACTCTACAAAATAGCTATCTTAGATTTTTTTTTTACATTTTATTTAAAATTAAAAAATAATTAATATTTTTAATAAAATGTAAAAAAATTAATTATTGAGATATAGCTATAGACCTAACGTATAACTATTATTTAAAAAAAAAATCAACTAAAAATATTAACTGGATCAAAAGTTATTTAAGTTGTCAGTGAGTGGTGGGTCACTATTATTTATGGCGTAAATTATCTTACATTTTGTTTCAACTGGGACATTTTCATCGAACAGACAAAGACCAACTAACTCATTTGACAAATATAATAAATGATCCATCATTTCTTTTACAGTGGCTTTTGAAATTTGTCGATTATCATAATTTATTAAGGCCTTTATCAGTTGCAAGTTGTTATTTGGAGCACATGACGCCAAAGTTGCAGTGAACGAATTTTTTTAATAGATGGTTACAATGAAAACACATATCTCCTCGAGGCCCATTTTTTCATTTAAGTACCAAAGAAGGTACTTAGATGAAATTGTCCACTAAACATAAATATTTTTAAACAGAAAATTACTTTTGACATCCAACGTGAATGACTAGTAGCGCCTAGAGTCATAAACTTAATTCCTCTGGTGGGTTCTTCACCAAGAAATATAACTGATAATTCGAGCAGCTCACGATAATCATCTCTTACTTGTTTGATTTTAAGCATTTATTAGCAAAAATTAACTAGTTCATGTCGCTTGTTCTCTGTAATCCTTAGAATAATAGCCGAGTTTGCTATAATGTATGCAGAATGATCAATTTTAGACCGAGAAAATCGAAATCGTACAAACATTCGGTTATCAGGTCCTGTTGTCGCTGAAGGTAACACTGCTTGAATTGCTGCTCCAATGACTAATTCAAAAATATGATGTCTGCATGCAAGTCAAAATAAGTTTTTTCCAAGTTAACGTTCTAATAGTACATATGACTTATTTTTTTTATCAGTATTCGAAGATGTTATATCAAAACACATTGCAACGATATTTTTGTATAAATTCCATTCTTTTTCACTCAAACAATCGAAAACGGTTTGTGTCTGCATTTCTCCTGTTGAAGAGGATAATTTTTTAATACTCAGTAATTTAATTTCATCTCCACCTGACACCAATACTGGGAGACGGTTCACATATTATACACGAGTGAGGTCCAACATCAGTTTTCCATCCCAGTGAACTGCTAGTTTGCTGTTTATTGTAAATGATTCTTTAATAAAATTAGCCATTTCTTGCCTTAATTTCGTACAATGTAGTTTTATCGTGCTTCGAATACATGCAAACGTATCAATATTCTCTCCAAGACTTTTTAGTGTAGCTCCAATGATAAAGATGGCTTGCCGATCACTGACCTTAGTTTTATCTAGCACAGCTGATTATTCTGATGTGATCAAAGGTTTTAATTTCTTTTTACTTTTTGAACATTTTTATTTTTTTTATTGACAATAAAATTATCGTTAGAATTAGTATTGTCTCTAGAATGGTTTTCTTCTATACTTAATGATGTAAAATCTTAAAAATTACTCAAATTTTGATTAGTAATTTTTTTTTTATAGAGTTGTTTTTTTTTTTTTGTTTATCTTTACGATTCTCTCTTTGCGTGGTAAAAACGTCCACTGTAGACATAAAACCTCTTCTCCCTGGCATCCGTTGTGCCAGTAAAAACTGTCTATCTTCATCAATATTAATTTTTTTTTAAGCATCAGCGATATCGAAAAGATTAGTCATTTTTATTACATGAAACCCACATTCATGTTGTCGGTGAAGTTCAGTTTTTCTATTTTTATGTTTGAAAAGATTTAGCCATTGATTATAAAGTTTTTTAAACTTATTTATAGCATTATCTTTTCGAGTTGTCGGTATTCTTGCTTTATTCCAAACAAATGTAACTTCTTCGATCACTTTATTGCATGCATATTTAAAC